TGATTTCCATTAGCGATCCTTTGTTTGCATTGGTTGTATGCGGCTCCACGTGCTGTTGTCGAAGCCTTATGGAGAGTAAATGATGCAACCCGTTTGATATGTAAATATGAATTGTCATAAATCTTACTGTCGCAGTTGTAGAAGAATGTTTATGTAACAATGTAAAAACATTATGAAGGCCGCACCGAATCGCTTGAGTTGGGCCAGTCTCTTCTTATTTATGAATATGCGATTTGTTTACAAACAAGAGAAAAGTCTGGTCACTTGATATGCAAATTAGCCTGGTGGCAGTGATGTTATGCTAAGTCATTACTGGCGCCAAAGTGTGCACTGGGGTTATCACGGACCCTCATGAAGGTGGTAACCGGAAGTTATGCCTTTATGGAATGGGGTAAAATAAGCAAGCCATTTAAATTCACACATTTTAACCAATGTTTACTGTAAACTAGAAGTCCATGGAAAACGAGGATGGAATCAGTTTGTGATTGTTGAATGGGGTAAAATAAGCAAGCCAGTTTGTTGACATGTGATCATCTAGCTACAAAAAGTATAATATTTAAGAGAAACTAAATATATTATCCTTTGCTGTCAACTACACTTCATTTAGATGCGTGAGTAGGCTTAATATGATTGTGAATTCTTTGAATAATGTGGACCAAAGTTATAATTATTGGTAACTGCCAGTTGTCTGTGGTCTGTGTTTGCCCACGATTAGGACTCCATCGAGGGGATCGGCTTATGTAAGAAACATACCATTTTTACACTGATTTTAAGGGTCAAGTTTGGGGTCGGCTTAACTATGGGGTCAGCTTATACGGTAATATGCAGTACATTTTACTCCTCTTTTAAATCCCTGTTGGAGTGTGAACAGTATTTATCTGTAGTAGCATCACCGATTCAAAGACAGATCTGAACTAAATTTGGAAGTGGCAATATGAACATTGGAGTGATGTAGTGATATTGTGTTGGACCTGTTTATCCCTAGAAGATGAAAGTCATATATTGTGCTGACTGTACCATATTTGCTGGCATAAGAAAAAAAATCATTCCAAAGAAAAAGCGATGGACATTACACATCTATTTTTTCAATCTTTAATTTGAAATCATTAATAATCTAGCTAAATATATTTTCCATGTGTTCAAACAACGAGGAACACTGTAAACTCTAACTTACTGTTAAATTGCTTGGAATGTTTAATGTGTATGTACAATGGGTCATATGCCTTTAATACAAATAAACATTCTATCTCCCTCTCTCTCTCTCAGTATTTTGCTCATTAATTAAATATCAACACAACTTGGACATCATACTATGAACATTCATATTATAACCAGGATATTAAGGATTGAAAACTTAAAATATATTTGGTAAACATTTAAGGAAAATTTGAAGTTCAGTTAAGAAGTGTCATTGTGCTTGGAAAATGCATTGACCAGAGTAACCAGATTCATATCGATTCATTTCCCTTGCATACAACAAATCTAATAAAGGAGATGAGTGGAACATGTGGATTGGGTGACTCATACACCATTTAGGTAATTACTGGTAATTAAGATACTCAAGAATCAGAAAAGGGACACACGTAATGATTCGATTAAGCATCTTCTGCCGCCTGCCAGTCGGAAGTTTTATTCGGGTTGAATGCTTCACGAATGATTTAAGCTCATTAATAAAGAACATTTATGATGGAATAAATTGATGGTACCGATTAAGTCTTGGAAGAGAGGAAATGATTGTAGTTAGTGGTGCAGCTGGAATATGAGTCATTTGAAAAGGACTAATGAAAGTAACTTATTATTCAGATGGGTTATGAGTCATTTTTATATGGTGTAGGACAGTATTTCAGGGGAGGAGCCAAAATTGTTAGAATATTTTGCTAGTTGACTGGGAGAGTGAGGGAGATTCTAGGCCCCACCGCTGACTTGAGAGGTTCGGCTTCTGTATATTGAGAGAATGGCTCAGATGAACTAGTAACTTTAGGAGTTGTACAAGAATCCAACAAGTTCTTCCATGAAGTTTGTGAATCTGTGTTGTGTGTAGACCAGAATGCTAGGCAATATCTGAGGACCTTTGTGTGAGAATTCATTCCAAAATAAATGGACTTGAACACCATACCGACTTATCTTTGACTATCCATCTTAGCTACATCATCCCCAGAACCAGAGTGGCTAGACAGATTGCCTAGGGAGGAAGGGTAGAACACCCAGACACCCTCAGGTAACAATATTTCAACATTTGTATAAATGTATATGTGTATTTAACATTGATACAAGGTGAAAATGTGGTTGCTGGATGTAATGTTGATGAAGGTTTATGTACCTCCAGAGAATAAACATGATTATTGGCATAAACATTCGGCTCTGGGATGTGCGTGCTATTTTCTCCAAATTCAACTACTTCATTGGCTAAATCTCCTATTACGCATACTCCTGTCGGTGGGGATTTATCCACTTTAACATCCTTATTATCTTCTCTTAAAGAAGATCTTAGTTATTCATTTGGCAATGCATTAAAAGATCTAGAAGATTGTAGCTTTAACAAGATGAAAGAGCTGAAGCGGTCTCACATCTAGCTCTAGGTCCAGTACCCATGGCTCCTCTTCCTGCTGTGGGAAAGAGACAACCAGCAAGAGCTCAATGCGACTACCGAACCACCTGGGGAAGGGTCATGAGCTGTACACGGTACATGGCACCATGGCACCCAGCAAACTGTACAGGGAAGCCATGGCTATCCAGCCAGAACCACGGCTCCCCAACAAGTTTAACTGTCAGTGCCCATGGGGCAATGGCAGTCAGAGCTGCACGCAACCAGCACTGTGCCCCCAGACAAACCAGTCACGGCCAGCCGTGATGATATAAACAATTCCCAGATGGCACATGCGAGGCGGGGATCAAGGGTCAACTCACATCTCCTGACGGGAATCAGAAATATTTCGAACAAGAAAAGGAAGAATTATTCCAACAATCCCCTGGAATTGACTTCCATATTCAATGGACAATGCCAGCCTGCCATCTCATCTTAAGTGGCTCAGTTATCTCGAAATTTAAATCAACAACTGGCCTCCGGCTCTGATTGCTCAAGCTAGAACAACACGGGCCCGAAGAGGACAGAGAGCTGCTGGTGTCTTCAGATACTCAGTCTAGAAATATACCTTGGAGCTCCAGCCTTATATAGTGGTAATGGATCCAAGAATTTTCATCCCTACAAAACTGTTCCTAGAAGACGATGACTCATCAGATCGCTTCAATCCTTTACTCTAATCCTTACGACTCAGACATGCCCATGGACAAGATTATAGAACTTGATTTCAACCAACCAGTCAGTCCCTTCACCCACGGGGTCAACAAAACAGTATACTCAGCAATTGGAAGCAGATTACAGTCGACCCTTGATTCTGTCGGTCATAAGCCAAGGGTATTCTCTGCAATTCAATCAGCATACTAATTCCAAGTACTACCATTCAGAGTGTCTATGTTCCATATGGCTATTCACAGTCATCATGAACCCAATACTCAACTTCTTATGCCTGAGATGTATTATGATCCATGACTATCAAGACGATTTCTTAGCAAGATATGTCCGCGAGTGATACTAATTCTACACACACACAATTCACAGTCCATATTTTCACTCACTTGGGATTTCTCCTACACCCCTGAAAATCCAAACTAACTCCAGGCCAAGGTAAACTTATGCCGGATCTTGCCTTATCCCTACCGACCATGGACCATTGGTTAAGCATCAGGGACTTGATAACACATCTTCTACAACTTCCATCAGCCACGCACCATCAGATGTCTCTTGTGGGTTGCCTGATCGTTAAAGGAGAATCTGAACGAAAACACAACTTTTGATATATTCTGAAAGTCACCTTCCGTGATTAAAATTGAACACAAAAGTGTGTAAAATAGCAATAAAAACACAAAATGTAATTTCGATTTCCGCCTTTTACGGAAACAATTTCGACAGTTAATGAGCAGAGGGAGTCATGACATGACATCATATGTGCCTGTTGTTGATGGCTGCCTCTTTGATTTTACCTCACAACTTAACAGTGTCCATGGATTCTGAAGCTGTAAAAGGTGTTCCTGATGTCATTTCTGAAATTGATGTTAGTCCGTATCAATAACGATCCGATTTTACATCTTGCAAGACAATCTTCCAGTGAAGATGAAGAAGAAGAATCAAACGGAGGCACCGCTTTTGAGTTCAAATAAAATTTTAAAATATGCCATATCATTTAACAAGAATACTATTTGACAGCAAAATGTGATACAGTTCCAACCAGAAAACCCACCCCCTATAAGTATATGACCAGTCCATAAGAAATATATTTTTGCAATGTGATTGCAGTTCCTTTAGCGTCAAATGGGTGACTGTAGGGTGTCTGGGATTTAAAAAACACAATAATTATGGATCCGACGGGGGAAATAGAAATAATCTGCTACAAACATTACACTGGAGTTACTTTGTTGAAAACAAAAAGTATCCTAGTTCTCATTAATAATTAGCAAGTCTCCTCGACAAAATCCCAGCCTGGTCGAAAGCAGAGATAATATTTAGCGACGCAGATAAGTTATTCCCTAAAACTGGTGAATTATAAAATACTCTTGTCAAGGACAATGTATGTTTTCCCAGTGTTTGGTTATGGAAATAGTTATGGTACTTCGGCCATAGCCTTAGAAATGGCATCTTGTCAGCCAATGTGAACACAGAACAACTTTCACGGCACACACTACTGACAAATAGCGAGTCTGATGCCGACGCGCGTAATTGGACAAAATGGAAAAAACAATGAAAGCAACAAGTACTTCGCGGATTTGCCCTTGTATTGGCAATGTTTCGGTAGTCTGTAGCATTTAAGGCTCAAAACCGAAAAAGAACGTCATAGCTAAACATTTTCAAGCTCATGTGAAATCTCTTACTGATTTTGATATCTATCTCATGGGTACCAGTGGAACTGCCCCAGCTACAAAATGCCCAGCAAATTTGGTCATTCATTCTAATTTGGTCAAATTTATTTAAAATGATTAAATATATGCAGTAAATGCATAGTTTTTGTCAACTTTGATATCATGTTCTTCATATAAAAGTTATTAAGAAGTAATATTTCTGATAAATGTTCCATCAGTAAACTCATACAACTATGTATATACTTTTATATGAAGAACATAATATCAAAGTTGATTAAAAACCATGCATTTATGGCCCATATTTCATCATTTTAAATAAATTAAGACATTTTAACTACCCCTGGGGCAATTTGACCAAAACTCCGGGGCAATTTGCTGGCGGGGAGCTATTTGACTGGCAATCGTGACGTGATTTAATTTATGTTAAAAAAAATACTACTGACAGTAAGCTGTAACAGGGAATGATGGAGTATAAATGAATCTGCGTGGGTAATTCTTCCTTCTTCAGCCTAGCTTTGGGATTTGTATGCCCCATGTGTGCTTGTCTCTTTCATCGCGTCCAACTCCGAATGATCGGACCATTTTCTCCTGCCTAAGTCTGTCTCTTTACTTGGAAAACGGAAGAAATGGTGGCTTTCCATTGTTCGGATGATTCGGTGCATCCCCCAGGCAACAGAATACACCATCGCATTCTCATTTACAAAACGACAGAAACAACACGATTTTGTACTACTGTAGCTTTGGTCTTTGGCAATATGGCGGACTCCAGGCACATTTGACGTCCGCAATGAAAGGTCCACGATGGGTTCCAGCGAAATATGTTTAATGGCGAAGCTGAGATTTACAGAAACTGTTTTCGCTAGATAAAACATAATTATACAAAAATTAATTGTAAATTTCGAATATGTTTCTGATGACTTTATCTCTTACCAAGCAAATCATTGCAATTCACTTGTATTCTCCTTTAATACAGGACTTTACAGTACGGGGAATATCTAAATCTGCGTCATGCACACAAATGTGGCTCAACCTGGTCAAGTTCAAAGACCTGGACAAAGAATCTCTGTGTCACAGGAGGTTGAACATGAACTTTCGTGGTGGACAATCGAAGACAACATCCTTGCCGGTGCTCCTTTCAGACTATCTCATCCCTGACTCACTCTCTACAGGGATGTGTCGACCTCGAGATGGGATGCTCACTTGGACCAATTCCAGGCTCACTCTAGAGGTGGTCGAAGCAAGAAATACACCTTCACATCAATGTGTTAGAGATGTTAGCAGTTATTTTCGAGCCCTTTATCACTGGTGGAATCTGATCCACAGCAAGTCCATGATTGTGACAGACAATTCCATAGTTATAGCATATATCAACAAGCAGGCGGGACTCATTATTCACAACTGATGCAGGCGACTGCGATCAATTTTACAGCATCACCAGATCAGTACAAAAGTGTACCATCAGGGGCACATTCCAGGATGCATCAACATCCTCTCTCTCTCCAGGGAGGGCCAAGCCTTAGCCACCCGAATGAACACTCCATCATGAGGCTTTTACCTATGATTGTCAACAAATGGGAAACTCACTCAGTTTGTGATTTACAAGGTCTATCAGTAGGATCGGATTTTTTTCAGATTAAGCACTTATAGACACTTTGCTATATATCTTCCCGAAATGGGACTTGTGTCTAGTGCTTCAATCTCTACTCAGGGCTCCTTTCAAACCTATGCAAGCATCTCCCCTCAAGTTCCGACTTTTATAACAGCCTTAGTATCACAAGGCTACACACCTTAGTATCTGAGAGCTACATGAATTTCTCATCTATTCCGTTATTCAGGAAGGCTACAAGGGAGATATGTAGAATGCTCCCCAGAGTTTGTAGCTAAGAATCAGACTACAGGCCAGCTGCAGAACTTATAAGATTCCAGCTCTCCCAGCCACAGTACTGCTTCGAGGTCAAATGAAACAGATTGCTATGCCACATCAGAGCATTAAGATGGTACTCTCAAAGAACAGTATCGTTCAGGAGGAAGCGGTGTAGACTATTTATTTGGGGTATGGGTATCAGTGTGGGTTGGTGGTGGTGTGTTATTCATCAAAAGACTAGGCGAGGAATATTCAGATAGGACATGGACCTACAGGAATACCGCCATTGGTGGAAGGTGAGTCTGATTCCGGATTTAATAAGTGTTGTGAAATTTTACTTTTTATAATAAGGATAGTCTGTAATACACCATGAAGTGGAGGAGGAAATGGCTAACACAACCCTGAGGTAAGAAAGCTTTACTTATAATTACAACAATAATTGTGATTGTTCATAATTTTAATTTAATGGTCACATGCAGCGTAAAACACAACTTTGCAGATTCTGATACCTTTCGGTATTGACTTACAGTAACAAATTATCAAATATGCAAAATTCAACTTATAAAGTTGAAAATAGCGCCAGTGAAACTCCCCTGCGAAATCGAGAGTTCAAAGCGATTCACTAACTTCTGGGGTGAAAAGTGGTTTCAACAGCTGTCCTGCGCCGTGAATAGGTTAGCTCAGCTTGAAGAGGGATTCCCGGATTATAAGGTCGTGAGCAGGAGTAGTCTAATCTTGGTTATGTACACAAACAACAAATAGTAAATTATCTACTCGTTACATATAATAACCTTGTTAAGGATCTAGATCTAATAATCTTCTATGTGTCAACCACTGAAGTGTTCGACATTTCAAGAAAACCTCAGCTGGTGGTGAATACCTCGAGTAGGCTTTGATGTGAGCTTTTTTTTCTAATGTTTTGACTTTTGTTGATATTTCACGAAGGCCTTGAGCTTTTATGTGTTATGACAGTAGATTACTGATTTAACTGTTAAAATAATTTTTTATTTGACTATTTCACCACACATTCTTCTTAACGGAGTCACTTTCTCAGTTCGATACTTAAAAGCAATGTCATTAACATCGTCAGAATTTCTAACTGTGATATAGATCTATATGCCTCTGTCACAGACAAAAGTTAATGTCTGTTTTATTGACACCTATGTGTCTGCCTGCCTGTCTGATAATGACCAATATGCAATACACAACTTCGATCACTGACCTCATGCGAATTTGAACTTAACAGCCTATCAGGCTATACACCATAAACAAGACGCATTGATTTATAAAGGCTCGTGCACGCGAGTTCTGTCTCTGTCACATTATGTAATTACACATACAGGCAGGTGTGATACTGCGTACACATGACATATTATGATGTCTGCTAACTGCAAAATGTTATACACAAAAAATGAGCATGTATTTACACACACAAAGAGCCCTGAGCATATCGGCAAATGAACCAGCCAATGAAAGACTTTGTTACCGCTTCCACCAGCTCTGACTGGGTTCGGTTTCCTGGGTGCCTCAAGTTTGGCGGGAAGTAGACCCAAGTACTAAATTTTGCATTTTGATTTGTGATTGTATGCTTATAATTTTATTTATTTGTTTTTCATAATCAGCAATGTACATTATACATCATGAATAAGTGATAATTGTGTTTTAATTATGTTTGCTTTTTGGTTGCATAATGTGACCTTTAATGAATAGTTCATGTACAAACGTCTACACATTTATAAAACTAATGGAGATAACAAACTGTATTTTGGTCCGGCCCTGTGTTGTTTATTTTAGTTAAAATATACGTAACAAACTACAGTTATAATGAACTAAAATTAGTGAAGCCTTTGAGTTTGTTATAACCATAGTGTACTGTATATAGCTATATGCTATTTGTATACTTTGACCTAACTAGAAAAACTCAGTTTTACAAAGTGCTGTCATCTGAGATTAAAAGATTCTTATTTCATGGTTATTGTGTAATTTGGATTGAATCTGAACTTGGGGGTAACAGCAGATGATTGAATGTCTTTATGATACTAGTAATTGATGAATACGGGCTTTTAACTTTGTTGTAAAGACAAATAACCCAGACAAATGAAGAGTATTATTCTGATGGGTGTTTATAACAGTAAAAAGTCACTGTGAGTTTTTTTTGTACAAATGTCAAAACAACCAACAGGCTCTGACACTGGGATGCAGCCACACTGTGACACTTGGTGATATTGTTACTTATTTCCAGGTGTTGGGGAGCAGTGAGTGTATCAGGGGTCAGGAGGTACAGGGATACCCCAACCAGCAGGCTCTGACACTGAGATGCAGCTACACTGTGACACCTGGTGATGTTGTTACTTTTATTCCAGGTGTTGGGGAGCAGTGAGTGTATCAGGGTCAGGAGGCAGCAAGGATACCCAACCAGCAGGCTCTGACACTGAGATGCAGCTACACAGTGACACCTGGTGATATTGTTACTTATTTCCAGGTGTTGGGGAGCAGTGAGTGTATCAGGTCAGGAGGTACAGGGGATACCCAACCAGCAGGCTCTGACACTGAGATGCAGCTACACTGTGACACCTGGTGATGTTGTTACTTATTTCCAGGTGCTGTGGGAGCAGTGACTGTCTCAGGAGTCAGGAGGTACTGAGGATACCCAACCAAGCAGGCTCTGACACTGAGATGCAGCTACACTGTGACAGATGATGTTGTTACTGATTACACATGGAGGAGGGTGGAGGCAGCTCTAGAGTGAACATAGTCACTGGATCGGTGCCTGCTCAGACAGCTGTGTTCCTGGACTCCTGGCAGAACAAGGGGCGTGTTTGTTGGTGACTACACCTCCTCCATCGACATCCAGCTGCCTGCCAGTCATGTGACCTCCAGCTATGCCGGACGCCACAGGTGTGAAGTGTTGGTGCTGTCAGGGTCAGCTTATGCTGATGTCACTGCCCTCTCTGTGTTGAGTAAGTATCAGATGAAAATTCAGCTTATTAATCAAATGCATGTGAAGTATATGAATTATGCTAATGAGTGTTAATCCAATTTAAATGAAAAACAACTCATTTCTGTGTCACCATGTATTAATAGAAAAACTAGTGCAATACAATTTGAAGGATGCAGTGCATCAAAATGTAAAATAAAATATTAAGAAGTAGCTCAGGCATGAAATGTTTGCATCATTAGCGAGAGTATATACAATGGGGTTCTGGACCACTTTTCAACCAAAGCCTCTGCAAAGCCTTATTTCACAAGTAAGGCTTTGAGGTCGGACTCCATAGCTCTTGCTACCATTACCCTACTATATGAAAAGTTTGGGACAATAAGCGGGGCCTCCCTAGCCGTACCAATTATGGCTGGAGTGTGTTGGTATCCTGGGATTGCTCTATAATAGCTCCGCGTGGCTATGTCACGCGATTGACATCGATGAAACAGTTTAATGTGAATGCGCCTATAAATCTCTTTGGTGTTTGTAATAAAAGGCTTGCTGGGCTTTTCACCCCTTGTTCTATGTACTTTTATCATCCTCGCTGATAGTAGACTTACCGAGACTTGAGATCGAGAATCTCTTGTTTCATTTTTATTATATTTTGTGAGTTCAGAGAGGATTGAACTAAATTCCTCCTCTGAGATCTTTACTGTCAGTGAGTGCGGTAGAAATATCGCTCACTTACTGTGTTCAGCTTTGCTTCCAGCCAGAACCCTGATCTCATCGTGTTTCAATGCCTTACGATGCAGTCTGCGTGATGCAAACTTAAGCACCAACCCTAACACCCTGCCACCTGAAGCTGTTATTTCAATACCTAGCACTACGGGTAGCCAATGTGGTAGCTAATAACAACCCAACACCTCGCCGGGCCCCAGCCCCATGTTGGTTGCCATAAGGGCAGTGTCAGCCCCGTCTACCGATATTGAAAGCTCTATGGTACTTTTACATAGTGCTTTACGTGTGTCGCGGTCTTGTTCTAGCTAGCGTTTCACATCACATAACTGCCTCAAAGCGGAACCGCTCTCACGGTTTCCAGGGTCTTCAAGCTACTTCCTCTACGACTGGGTACAGGCCCATCCTATAATATATATTGCAAAAAGATATTTTAATTGGGTTTCATTTAATAGTCGATCCAGCGTGCCCAGAGGCTTATAAGGTATAAATCCTCATGTAGGAGAATAGGTGAGAATGTAATAGGTAACTCTGCATCCACACGGAAACTCCTCATAGTGGGGGTTATTATCCACCCATGGTAGGGGGCTTATTAAGGGGTTATAGAACCCGTTGAGGGGTCAGGTTGTATGATGATGATGGAAACGTTGATACCTGGCCTGGGAACTCCAGTGTACAGTCACCCGGGTAAAGTTGTTGTTCTGCAGGATCACCCCTATGGAGACATCTATCTATGATGGTGGAGCCTGGTACCATAGCGGAATCCTTTGTTCCGTAGCAGTTATACCTTAACTCACCCCGTAGAATGCCCATAACATATTGGATGGCGATCTTAGTGTAATCGTTGTATTAGGGGCGAGGAATGAAACACCCGGCCGGGTACGCTATTCTTAATTTCAGAGATATCATTATGTTCATTTAATGTGATATAAGGTGAGGCGAGTGTTAAGTTGACTATCCATTCAGGCTCTTTAAGATCTGATATGCTTGGTATCCGCCTATACACGCTTGTCTTTGAAGTGTAGGATGTATAAGGTGTCTTCCTCACCAGGTTGATCGAATCCCTCCGTGTCACCTAGGTCGTGTCATTAGTGTTGGGGTGAAGCCAAGACATTGTTATAATACTATTACGATATAATTTCCAACTGGTTTTCTGATAATAGTTCAGGGTGAACTTAATCCCCATGAAGTGTATGTTGTCAGGTAGGAAGATCTTGGTTAGTGATATAGAAGTGTTTTCCACGCGATCACGGTGACACCCTGCAGACTGGTGTTGGAGCCGACACCCATCCGCGCGTAAACTGTGCAAGCGTGATACTGGTGTGCAGTTTCACCCACCCGAGTTTGACCCCTTCCACGATCTACGACATCATTCCCCGATGGTTCCCCTAGGTAGACTTTGATGATCAGTGTTGAGTTAGCGGTAGACTCTCTAGTATCCTGACCGGCCGCGCCTTCAAATTCAGACACCAACTGCAATATCACGTTTTGCATGCCCGCTTTACTTTCGATAGCATGTGGGCTGCCATACTGGCGAAAGTGGGCTGATGACTACGCTCGTCTCTGAGTCGGGGCGTAAAGCCAATTTCCAGTAGGGTTCCGTTGTTAACCACTTTGTTTAGGTGGTTATCTTTGTTATCCCGTGAACACATAGGGGAGCCGAGCCTAATATTGAGAAACCAGTCGTCTTTATCTGGTAACAACACCCACTTGTCATCTTACGGTGAAGGCAGTATATGGCTTGTTTCGCTTAATGGGTAGCGCTCTCAACATCGTCTAAGTCGAACAGTTTGCCCCGAAAGATGGGTATATTATCCAATTATCATTACGGTGGTGACTAGGGTGTACTTAGTGTTGACTACCGCTCTTGAGGTATCTACTATATCACCTAGTGCTCCAATCGAGAAAGGACTTCAGCAGCGTTTGTAAATGTTGTTTTTTCAGTTGCAAGGCAGCATAATTTACCATCTACTCCGGGCGTTCGAAACCCGCATGTGTCCGAGGTGGGAGATCCCCACATTGTAGCATTTTTTCACGGCCCTTTGTGCGCTTTCTGGTCATTTTATGTGGCGTTAAGCTGAGGGTATCCTATATTCGCGCGGGATTATGATTTTATATCTATTACCCGATATTATCAGCTCAGGGATGTTGCCCTTGGGGTTAACCTCTTATACTGCGAGGTGAAAGCGATTCAGTTCTACCGTCGTTGTATTTCTCCTCGTTTTCACCGCAACGGCTCTCAGTATAGTGGAAGGGTGATATATGAATGTTGTCGCGCCAGCTCCACCTGACCCTAGATGAATGTACGGCTCGATTCCGGTACTAGGTCCGGGTAACTTCGATGCATAATGACCGGTTGTTGTTGGTTTTATCTCGTCAGGTGACATACCGAGTGTCGCCAATGGCCGGCCGGAGCCTCAAGGAGTTTCTTCCGATTTGTTGATTAACACCACTGTGCCGCTTGAATCGTTCATCTTGAGTTCGGCTCCCAGGGTTTGAAGACCTCATCGCTTAAAGCGCTGAGCACACGCTGTAGTAGGCGGTCAGTTATCTGGCTCAGCGAGTTCCACTAACGAACAGCTTATTGTTGCTGGCGTTGATGTTAGTCCATTCGCGGTAGGTAGGTGATGCTCGCCGAGTCTGCGACTTCCGAGTTGACCCGGACGTATTTATCGATCAGCGTCGTCAGCTGAAGCGAGCCTCACCATTTCGTTATTCCTGGAAGTGTTATGTACATGTTAGAGTATATATGCTCATTATATAATAGTTTTAAAATGTATTCCCAAGGAGGAGCATCCTGCGCCAAAGGGGAGATGTCTTACTCCTGGAGTGTTTACCCTAAACTGGACATAGATTTCTCACCCATGAAGATCGCGGTTGCTGATGGGATGTATTTCAACGCCAACTTTTAGATGTGTTCAGCCTGTATAAATTTTAGGTGACTAACGCTTAAAGGTAGTTCATGCTTGGTTCAACAACCCGATGCAGTTCTGGCAGAATCAACTCAACTTGCAGCGTGTGAATTAGCTACACTGTGACACTTGGTGATATTGTTACTTATTTCCAGGGTGTTGGGGGAGCAGTGGAGTGTATCAGGGTCAGGAGGTACAGGGATACCCAACCAGCAGGCTCTGACACTGAGATGCAGCTACACTGTGACAACCTGGTGATGTTGCTACTTATTTCCAGGTGTTGGGGAGCAGTGAGTGTATCAGGGTCAGGAGGTACAGGGGATACCTTAACCAGCAGGCTCTGGACACTGAGATGCAGTTACACAGAAAGGACACCTTGGCAGATATTGTTACTTATTTCCAGGTGCTTGGGGAGCAGTGAGTGTATCTGTGGCCAGGAGGTACAGGGATACCCAACCAGCAGGCTGGCCTGACACTGAGATGCAGTGTGCCACACTGGTGACACCTGGTGATGGGGCTGTTACTTATTTCCCAGGTGCTGTGAGTGCAGGACTGGCCCCAGGGTCAGGGAGGTACAGGGATACCCAACCAGCAGGTGCCTCCTGACACTGAGATGCAGCTACACCGTGACAGATGATGCTTGTTACTGATTACACATGGAGGAGGGTGGAGGGCAGCTCTAGAGTGAACATAGTCACTGGATCGGTGCCTGCCTCAGACAGCTGTGTTCCTGACCCCTGGCAGAACAAGGGCTTGTTTGTTGGTGACTACACCTCCTCCATCGACTATCCAGCTGCCTCGCCAGTCATGTGGACCTCCAGCTATGTCGGGATGTACAGGTGTGAAGTGTTGGTGCTGTCAGGGCTGGGCTTATGCTGATGTCACTGCCTCTTGTGTTGAGTAAGTATCAGATGAAAATTCAGCTTATTAATCAAATGCATGTGAAGCATATGAATTATGCTAATAGTGTTAATCCAATTTAAAATGAAAACAACTCATTTCTGTGTCACTCATGTATTAATAGAAAAAAACTAGTGCAATATTAATTTGAAGGATGCAGTGCATCAAAATGTAAATAAAATATTAAGTAGCTCAGGTACGAAATGTTTGCATCATTAAGTAGAGTATACAATGGGGTTCTGGACCACTTTCAACCAAAAGCCTCTGCAAAGCCTTATTTCACAAGTAAAAGGCTTTGGTCGGACCCCTTAGCTCTTGCTGCTACCATTACCCCTACTATGAAAAAAGTTTGGGACAACAGCTGGGCCTCCTAGCCGCCACCGGGTAAGGTGGCTGGAGGTGTTGGTATCCTGGGATTGTTTCTATAATAGCTCCACGTATCGCATATGTCATGCTGACATCGATGAAACAGTTTAATGTGAATCGCCATAATCTATGCACTTTGGTGTTTGTAATAAAGGCTTGCTGGGCTTTTTTCACCCCTCTCTTGTTCTATGTACTTTTTTATCATCCCTCTGATAGTAGACTTACGAGAGACTTGGATCAATCTCTTGTTTCATTTTATTATATTTTGTGAGTTCAGAGAGAGGATTGAACTAAATTCCTCCCTCTGAGATCTTACTGTCAGTGAGAGTGCAGTAGAAATAATGGCCACTTACTGTGTTCAGCTTTGCTTCAGCCAGAACCCTGATCTCATCGCGGTTTCAATGCCTTACGATGCAGTCTGCTGATGCAAACTTAAGCACTAACCCTAACACCCCTGCCACCCCAGCTGTTATTTCCCAATACCTAGCACTACGGGTAGTAGCCACGATGGTAGCTAACAACCCAACACCTGCCGCCCCAGCCCCATGCTGGTTGCTATAAGGGCAGTATCAGCCCCGGCCCACCTATATTGAAAGCTCTATGGTACTTTTTACATAGTGCTTTACGGTGTCGCGTCTTGTTCTAGTTGGCGCTTTACACATCACATAACTGTCTTCCAGCGAACCCGCTTCACGGCTTCCAGGGTCTTCGCTACTCTCTTACCACTGGGTAGCAGCTCCATCCTATAATATATATTGCAAAAGATATTTTAATTGGGTTTCATTTAATTAGTCGACAACGTATTCTTGAGGCTTATAAGGTATAAATCCTTCTGTAGGAGAATAGGTGAGGAATGTAATAGGTAACTCTGCATCCACACTAAACTCCTCATAGTGGGGGTTATTATCCACCCATGGTAGGGGCCAATATGGGGTTATAGAACCCGCTGAGGGGTCAGGGTTGTATGATGATACGGAAACGCTGATACCTTGGCCTGGGAACTCCAGTGTACAGTCACCCCGGTAAAAAGTTGTTGTTCTGCAGGATCACCCCCTATGGAGACATCTATGATGAGCTGGAGCCTGGTACCATAGCCGGAATCCCTTTGTTCCCGTGAGCAGTTATACTTTAACCTCACCCCCGTGAGAATGCCCATAACATATTGGATGGCGATCTTAGTGTAATCGCTGTATTAGGGGCCTGAATGAAAACACCCGGGCCGGTACCGCTTATTCTTAATTTCAGAGATACATTACGTTCATTTTAATGTGATATAAGGTGAGGCGAAAGTGTTAAGTTGATTCATCCATTCAGGCTCTTTAAGATCTGATAACGTATCCGGGCCATACACGCTTGTCTTTTGAAGTGTAGGGATGTATAAGGTGTCTTCTCTCTCTCTCACCAGGTTGATCGCATCCCTCCGTGTCACCTAGGTCGGTAATCGTAGTGTTGGGGTGAAGCCAAGCATTTCATTGCTATAATACTATTACTTATATAATTTCCAACTGGTTTTCTGATAATAGTTCAGGGTGAACTTAATCCCCATGAAGTGTATTCGTTGTCAGGTAGGAAGATCTTGGTTAGTGATATAGTAGTTTCCACGCATCACGGCGACATTCCTGCAGACTGGTGTTGAGCCGACACCCATCCGCGAGACGCAAACTGTGCAAACGCGGATACTGGTGTCGCTTTCACCCACCTGAAGTTTGATCCCCCTTCAATGCATCTCGACATCATTCCCTCGATGGTTCCCTAGGTAGACTTTGATGATCAGTGTTGAGTTCCGGCCGGGTAGACTTTCTAGTATCCTGACCACGCCTTCAAATTCAGACACCAACTGTAATGTCACGCTTTGCATGCCCGGGCTTTACTCGATAGCATGTGGGCTGCCATACTGGCGACCAGTGGGCTGATGACTACGCTACGCCTCTGAGTCGGGACGTTAGTTTTCACGAAAGCAGGGTTCCGCTTGTTAACCACTCTCTTTGTTTAGGTGGTTATCTTTGTTATCCGTGGAACACATAGGGGAGAGCCGAGCCTTCCACATTGAGAAACCAGTCGTTCTTTATCTGGTATCAACAACCATCTTTAACTTTGTCATCTTCGTGAAGACGGTTTATATGGTTTGTTTCGGCGCTTTATCGTAGTGCTCTCAACATCGCCTGCTTCGCAACAGTTTGCCCCCGAACGATGGGTATATTTATCCACTTATCATTACCGTGGTGACTAGGGTGTACTTTAGTGTTGACTCAACCGCCTTTGAGGTATCTACTATATCACCTAGTACTCCACCGAGGGGACTTTCAACGCCGCTTGTAAATGTTGTTTTTCAGTTGCAAGGCGCATAATTTTACATCATCTACTCCGAGCCGCCGAAACCGCTGCGGTGTCCCCGAGGTCGAGATCCCCACATTGACGATTTTTTCACCCCGGCCCTTGTGCTTGGTCATTTTATGTGAAGCTGCTAGCTGAGGTATCCTATATTCACGGATTATGATTTATATCTAACACCGATATTATCAGCTCAGGTATGTTGCCCTTGAGTCCTCTCTTATACTGCCGCGTGGGTGAAAACGACTCGGTTCTACCGCCGTTGTATTTCTCCGCTTTCACCGCACGGCCTCAGTATAGTGGAAGGGTGACCCCTTGAATGTTGTAATGCTAGCTCACCTGACCTAGATGAATGTACAGCCTCGCACGGGTAATTAGGTCGGGTAACTCGCGCCTGTGACGGTTGTTGTTGGTTTTATCTCGCCAGGTGACATACCGAGTGTCCTCGCCAATGGCCGGCCGAGCCTCAAGGAGTTTCTTCCGTTGTTGATTAACACCACTGTGCCGCTTTGAGTCGCTTCATCTTGAGTTCGGCTCCCCAGGGTTTGAAGACCCCATCGCTTAGCGATGAGCACACGCTTCGTAGTAGCCGGTTGGCCAGTTATCTGGCTGCGAAGTTCCACTAACTAACAGCTTATTGTTGCTGGCGCTGATGTTAGTCCATTGGGTAGGTAGGTGATATCGCAGAGTGCGACTTCGAGCTGACCGGATCGATATCGATCGCTAAGGGCCAGCTGAACGGCCTCACCGCCGCTATTCCTGGAAGTGTTATGTACATGTTAGAGTATATATGCTCATTATATAATAGTTTTAAAATGTATTCCCAAGGAGGAGCATCCTCGCTAAGGAGGTCTTACTCCCCTGAGGTTTTAATCTAAACTGACATAGATTTCACCCATGAAGATCGCGCTGTTGCTGATGGATGTATTTCAACGCCCAGCTTTTAGATGTGTTCAGCCTGTATAAATTTTCGGTGACTAACGCTTAAGGTAGTTCATGCTTGGTTCAACAACCCGATGCAGTTCTGGCAGAATCAACTCAACTTCGGGCCGTGGTGGTGCGCCTACAACGGGTGTGGTGTGACATTGACCGCACACTAACGGGCGTGGACCGCTGAGTCAGTCTGTGTTCAAGTTCCACGTGGTACTACCAGGTCAGGCGATCCTTAAAGAAATCAGCGCCCCGCCCCATACAGGACAATGCATGGAACCCATTAAACAACAAGTACGATAGGGCGGGCCTACTTAACGTGATTTGCAACGACCAACTAAACCCAAGACGGATTACGCTTTCGGGCCGAACCACGGTTGGGTATCCCCATCGCTCACCAAATGCCCTTGTGTGGAAGCCAGCAAACTGCTGGTGAAAGATTGGGGATACAAGTCGATCATCTCTTCACAACCAACGAGTGGGATGACCGTTACATGGCTTTCAATGCCAACAAGGAGTACAGAGTCTGGAGGTTTGATCAGGGAGGGGCAGCGGATGACTGGAAAAAGTTTATGTTGACACGCCGAAAGGGTTTACTCGTACCGCACTGAACGCTTAAACGACTTCGATTCAACGACGCAGGGCTGTGTTGGGTGCGCAGGACGCAAACGCTCCAGTATTATCGGTAAGGGGACTGCTTACGACGCCAGAAACAGTTCGCTGCCAACGCTGAGG